GCCAAGCTCGGCGAACAGATCAACAGCCACCTGATCAATTACCAACATTAACAAGTGGTTGATCAGTGTGGGACGATGCCTGTGGTACAGAGGAAGATTTCAGTCCAATTGAGTAAAAAGCTGGTGTAGGGTGAACGAGGTGACAGAACACACTACTTTGAAAGCTCAACACCAGTTTCGCCAGTCTTGGGGTTCATTAATTGGGCACAACCTCCCAGCTTACATCAAACTTGTGTCCTACCAAATTGTATGCAATCGGCAAAATACACCGGCTAAGGAACGCTACCAGTAGCGGTGTTTTTTTCGGAAGACAACGTCTCTTACAGGGAGGGATGGGAGGTTGCTGAGATCGTCCTGCTAATTTTTATCTGGATTCATCGTCACTGATACGACTTGAGGACGCAGACGCGTCTCTTCGATCCGCCTGTAAGGCCAACTAGGGTTCGTTGCTGTAACCTATACTGGATGAAGGAACCAGGAATGGTCGTACGACTACCATCCGACGAAGGAGGATAACGCGTTCTTGGAGCATACTGGCTTCGTATTTGATTGGTGGAATAGTTGTGGAGTAATCTAAGCAGACCCTGCTTAGCTGCTCAAGGGGTTTGTCCAAAAGCATTCGCTTAATCCGAAAACAACGGTTGCGTCGTTTGGACGTTGCTGTCGCGTCAAAAAAGTGATATGCAACGACAGCCAGCCCGGAGCCTGACAATCGACAGACCAGCTAGCGTGAGTCTTCAGCAGACAGAATAGTGTGCATCCAATTTGATACCACACTACATCGTCATCAGAGACAGCCACATCAGTGTTGACACTAATACTTTACTGTCAAACAACCATAAGGCTTAATTGTGTTTCAAGCTTTAGAATGAAAGGAAGAGAAAAGAATAGGTGAGGGAGGGGACCTGCTGATAGCCTATCGCAAGCATTCCAAGTCAGACAACCTGGAAAGAAACTGACATCACGAGCGCCACTGATGTCGATCAGCCGCCATTTACTGCAATGTCTCCAGCCAATCGTAAGCGGGGTCACGGGGACCCTATTTTGGAAGGCGTACAACACCCAAACTCTTCACACCCTTCTGCCAAGTCACACGTTGTCCATCTCGCCACTCTGATGGAGGCAGGGAGAACAAGACTTGTTTCAGTGGACGGCATACGTAGCACATGGCCGAACCACCGCAGTTGATGGCGCAGGATGTTTTGCGCGATTGAAGTGCCCGCTGCACAACCGAATACCTGTTTTCTAATTATCAGGTTGCGAATTCGTTAACGCCATCGGACACCAGCAACTTGTCTGAGGCATCGGTGGTCAAAGACCTGAAGACGCCTCACATCACCTGTCCGCATATGCCATGTTTCGCACTCACACAACAACACGGCGGTCACTGTAGCTTGGTACACCTCTGACATCACAACTGACGCAAATTCGCAGACATGATTCTATCCTTTCAGATTCGTGCACTGACGTCACCAGATGCACTTTCACCAGAGCTAATAAGATCACACCTTGAGAGATTCACGGTTCGAAACTTGGTGCCTTTTTTTGGCACCGGCTGTCGGCAATTCACCCAGCAGATAGAATTGACCAGTTGTTCAGTGAGGGGGTCAGCACGATTGCGAGGTCCGGACCGTCAGCTTTCTCAAGCTTCATTTGTTCGAGTAAAATACATCGTCTAAAGGTAGCAGCAGTGGGGCGAGTTAGGTCCTCACTAAAACTCGATACAGAACTCCCATGCAACCAGCTCAATTCGGTTTAGAGCTCGGCTTATCAGAATAAGGCTATTAGTAGACTGGCATATATTGGAGAGGAGGGTACGTCAAGTGACTGACCTGTGGCCTCGCTGCTGGCTAAGATTCGTGTGTCTGTATCTGATAGGGCATCCATCGTTCTCTCGAGTAGACGTTCCTGGAAAGAAAAGAGCAGGTGTAGTTCACGACCAACTCTAAAAAATGGCAATTGATGACTGGACTACATCGTTTGACCAAAAAAAAGAAAACAACCTGACTTATTAAAACTCAGCGTGAAGGCAGATTTGTTGAAACAAACAGTTAGCCTGACTCAATTGAGGAGCTACGAAGTCATGGTGCAAAGATTGTTCACAGTAGATCTCTCTGAAGCAGGACCAAAGTCGATCGGCTGCTCCAAGGCTACGAAAGGCCCGTACCGAGATTCACAGACGTGAGTCGATTCGACGCGAGAGTGCTTCCTGTCGATCCACGTGAAGCTGATTCAGCTTGTTATCGGTACGCCAACTCTAAATGCTACGGTTTGAGTCTTAAAGGACAACCGGGAGAAATTTATGGTCACAGATACGTTGGATACAATGGTTTACGTCTTCTCCAAAGTTGTCAGGTCTTAGCGGAAGAGTTCCACTAGCTGCGAAGATGATGCATCAGGGTCTCGTCTATGGAGGCCTCGTTGCAAAGTTAGAACTGAACAGGAATCCCGCTAGGAGCAACAACTCAATTCTTGTGGGGTCTTTTCCACATGTGGTCCCCGGGTCCAAAGGATCATGGATGCATATTCACACTCGACCACGAACTTTGTTTCTTTCCTCACGTTACTTACGATTTCGGCAGAATGTTGGTGAATGCTTGCGCGACGTACTAGTGTGGACTAAAGAATCGTTGCAGGAAACTGGACCGAACAATCGGTGAACGCGTAGTTTAGGAGGTTTGATCGATTATACTAGCTAACAGTGACGATGTCTACTTGTACGTTGACTAAAAGTTTCCCAGCAAACAGACCTACTGCCACCTGATCGATAGCCAATTAACCCAACCGAGTGAAGCCATGGAAATCAACAGAAAGGACCGGATTGATCGATTGGAGGAAGATGCGCACAACCGAAACAGTAATCGCGCCGGACAACAAGTACATTTGGTCCTTCTGTTACAACCGCTTGCTTGACGTAATAATAAAAATAATTGTTCAGCGGTAACACCCTTCCGGTGCCTAACTGCCATGCCACCCGGAGAAAGCACGAGGGCTGGGATACTGGCAGGTCGCCCAAGCCTAGACAGGAGAAGTCGAGAGGCAGAGGTCGGGTTCGAACCACGGACCTTCCGGTCAGTAAATTCGCACTGCGATCTAACGGGCCATCTCGCTTGCTTGACGTACGTTTATCCCATCTCTTCCTAATCTTAGTCCTGTTCAGTGCCGTACACAGTGGGTCAGGTGAGAGTCGTTGTGACTGAAACAAGCAAACTGGATTGATTACGTGTGCAGAACTCCATTGGGCATCAGTTCAACTCACAGTGTGCGCTACCACTGGATCGATAACGGAAACAAAGCGGGATACCTATCCACCGTAGCGTGCATCTAGTTAGGATGACTGGCAACTTTGCGTTTAGCAACAGACCTAATGCGTAGCCAATGACAGACGTGGTCTGACGGACCGTGACATAGTTCAATCTAGCAACATTTCGCAGCCAAAAATGGTTCCAGGGTTTCGGAGACGTTCCAAGGTTTTCCTGATTACTTCACCAATGAAGAGAATGGACACGACTATCTCTAGGAAACCTCTTGGAGAACCCCTTACACATTCTCTCAAGCGCCATCGCTTGATGTGGTACACACAGCACCCTCTCGACCGGTTTTTTGCCTGTCATTCTCGCGCCCTCTTGTTGATTCCTGAACTGGCATAGCTCGGTATGTCCAAAGAGAAACTGTAGAAGAGTATTCGCACAGAAAATCAAATTTAGCCTGAAGATCGTACCTGATTCCGTGACCCATTGACCTATCCCTCATCCAACCCCCCTTCCTTTGATTTCTATTTCTCCAAAGTGTATGTAGCCCCGATCTTAACCTTTTCCACGTGATTTCTGCTACCATATAAATTTGTGATGTATTAGCCAGGAGGAACAATCACAGAAAACAAGCTCTGTTCGCTACCTTCTTCGTTCTCATGATCGTACAGTTATACAATGAATGACACAGGCATCGATGAACTAATCCGGTGCGTTTGTTCGGCTCTTTACGAGGAGAAAAAAATCACTGGTCATTCACAAATTTCAGGTTTTGTCGAACGAAAACAACAATAGTGACAGTCTTACTTCAATGTAGTTAGCCAACAGCGTGGGACTCAATTCTGCTTCGAGCACTGCCGAATTGGTCGGATGCTCGTAACAAAACGCGATAAGTGTGGGATAGAGTATGTCGGTCAGTGGTCTTTGACTGAAATAGTCAAACGGTAGGGCGACGAGGCGTTGCAGGAGTGTGGGAGGAGGACCGGTTTGCAAACTGGTCTGATTGTCAAAATTGAGCGCACACACGTGACCCGCACAAAGTATGGCCTCGTGGAGCACGGCATCTGTGAGTTGTTGGGACGGTAACATGTGGTCCAGACTGTAAATGGGGAAAATAGAGTACACCGGACAGGTAGAAAGGTGAAGCGAATTCATTCAGAGAGCTTCGGTCAACAATCGGTCCACGCTGTTTGCCAACCCTCTCTGAGTTCGAACCCCACCCTCGATTTTCGACTGTTCTTAGTCGATGTTTGTTTACTCAGCTCGGCAGCTATGCTCCGAAATAGTATCACAGCAGAATGATCACTCACTAGTGCAAAATTTATAACTGAAAACAGTGCGTATGATGTTTGGTCTTGCCTGAGAAAAATCAGGTTCGCCTTGGTGCTGTTTTCCGCGAAACCGTTAGTGTACGTGAGAGGAAGTTGATTGCTCTGGTTCACTTTTGTGAACCGATTGATTTCTGCTGGGATTGGCTGGAAGGACAAAACAACTCCGGATCACGGCTATCGTCATCCAGAACGCTCTGGTGGTTACACACTGTCTGCTTAGCTTGGCTACATTTTGCCACATCGTATACTACAATACTCAAGGTGTGATAACCGTTCGTCGACCACGATACTAGGTCATTCTTCGAAATACACTCATTTACAAACCAATTTGCTTTCGCAGGAGACTAACCTGGAATACAGCTGATTCCCTCTCGTTTTTAAGCAACTGAACGTATTGCACCAGGCCGCCTTAGGTTTCAATCGGTATGATACTCAAAAAGGGCGAAACCGGTCGTAAGCTGTCGAAGAGTTTTCAGCAACCTTATGAGTAGAGTATCACGTCTATACATGTGTCGCGATACCTCAAATACCGTATCCAGTGAAACATGAGGCGGCCTGGTGCAGCACATTCAGTTGCTCAAAAACATGAGAAACGGGAGATTTAGCTGGGCTTCAGGTGAGTCTCCCTTGAAAACCGAATTGCTATGCAAATAAGCGCATTTCACTAATTTCGTACAATATGGTTCCAAGTAGAACATAAGGTTGACGGAAACTCGGGGACTGCGCCTACCTGATAAGCCCCAAGAATGGCGAAACCTGTCGTGGGCTGTCGACGAATTTTCAGCAACCTTATGAGTAGTGCATTACAAATATATATGTATCGCGATATTTCGAATATCGTAGCGACTGAAACATAAGGCGGCCTGGTGCAGCACACTCAGTTGCCTGGAAACATCACAAACGGGAGATTCAGTTGGGTTCCAGGTGAGTCCCTCGAAAAACCAAGTTAGTTTGCAAATGAGTGTATTTCACTAACCTATCAGCTATATTAAGCAGGTCGGTGTAATACTTTCAGAATGTATCTATGAGTTGACTCCTTCTTAACATCGTTTTTCAGAAAAGAGCTTTAGAGCATCGTGTTTCAGTGGCAAACCGCAACGCACGAAAGACCGTTTTTGAACGGTATTCGATGATCTTTCACAAAAGGGCGACGGAGCATCAATATGGTTCCCGTACAGACTTAGTCGTTGAATGACTGAGATAAGAACCGACGTTTCAATCCATTTCACACATCCCAGCTAGTAGGGGTTTCTTTATCAAACCTCAACTGGATGTAGCGTGTAGAAATATATAATTTAGTTCCCACCAAAGAAAATAAGCATTCAGTGGCTAGCTGCGCGGGTGGGGGGCTGAGTTACCACTAGGTTATCCAAGCCTAGATAGGCACAGTCAACATGCAGAGATTGGGTTCAAACCAAGGACTTGCGGTCAGTAAGTTCACGCCTCGACCACTGAGCGATACTGAACTCAATCTAACATATAGTAAAGTAATTTGAAAAGAACAACCGACCAGTCAGCAACGATATCGTCATTTCAGGAGGATGTACCTTTTAGCCCAGTAATAACAATACCGACGCTTACTTGGTGACCGGCTTTACGGTGCTCGGCTGCGATTCGGGAGTAACGTTTTCGTTTGCCCAATCTGGAAGTCCGTACAGATCGATGCCCGATTTTGCAGTGTTGGATGCAGCACGTGCAACTGCTGCCCTGGCTCCACTGGGGATAAGCTCCCGAAGATCTTCCGTATCGTCCACACGACGTCGAGAAGGAGTAGTAGAGGCGGACAATTTTGATTCGGCAGTAACCTTGCGCTTTCTAGGGACTTTGGCATCAACCTCCAACCCCGAGGGCACATTTACTGTGTTTGAGGATGACTCACACAAACAGCGCGTCAGCAGGGCCAGTAGAATATGTCGAATGAGCAACGAAGTGAGTTCTCCACTGACTATGGTCTGCAACGGAAGGTGTACAGAAGGCTGAGCGTTTTTCGTGGTTGACATTCCTGGCTAGAGGCCTCGTTTTAATGGGATTTTGAGGGAATAACTTTTGGTTATGTGCCGAGAACGGGTCCCCACCCCCGCTTAAGTCATCCCGAGTGACCTTCAGAATGTGTATAGGTGAACATATTAGATATCTTCATAAGAGAAACTACTCACAAGGTTGCTGAAAACTCTTCGACAGCCCACCACCGGTTTCGCCCTTCTTCGGGCTCATCAGGTAGGCGCAGTCCCCGAGTTTCCGTCAACCTTGCGTTCTACTTGAACCCAAATTGGACTGTTTTCGAGAAACACACTGATTTGCAAATCGATTTGGTTCTCACGGGAGACTCAACTGAATCTCGCGTTTATGATATTTCACAACTGAATGTGCTGCACACAGGCCGCCTCATGTTCCAGTTGGCACGATATTCGAGATATCGCAGTATATTTTCCTAAAGGAAACTACTCACTACTCTCGTGGTCCTGAAAACGGAACATTCTCGCGCGCGTGAAGCACGATAGATTTCGCACAGCACCTATTCAGTTCGTCTGTCTGGTTTGACCCATACATCGAAATCTTTGCTTATCAAACTGCAGAGTGGAGTCGGACAAGTTGAGAATTGCAAAGCAGCGGTTAGACACGAGTGTTCACTTCCGCTTCGTGATTATTGATTTAATTCTGTAGAGGTTACTTGTAAGGAGGGCGATGAGAACTCTCCAATGGTCCGCTACTATCGACCAAAACAGGAGATAAGACTGGAGGGAACTCAGGGACTAAGCATACCTGGTTAGTCTCGATATCAACCGGAACATGGTGCGGTATTTGTGTGCCACATGCGGTTGTGGAATCTCACGAACCGGAGGTACATTGGAGTGCCCTGTTAACATCACCGTAATCTCCAAGTGAGTGTATAGCTTCCGCTTTTCGACAGGAATTGAACTAGACGGTGTTATTCTCGACAGAGCCTCTCACATGACGCTCGGTCCATATCAGTTCGATATGGAGACCCGACATAACCTGGTCTCTGCGGCCTCAGGTAAAAGCAACCGAAAGCCTACATGAGTCATTTTGGTCAGCGAGTTGAGGTGATCCCGATTTGGTTGATGACATGTTGGGTCTACCAAACAGTCATGGCAATCGTATAAAAAGCGATCAGAACAACTATCGTAGCTGTCAAATGAGCTAAAAGGTTACAAGAATCTCTTCGAACCGATGTCGTTCCAATAAGACAACTGAATAGTCCATATTCGGTGACAAAAGACGCCTCGTCGTGAGGCAGGATTGCTGTATTGACTGTCAAATACGTGAAGAAACTGATAACGGTGAGAGCTTGTACATACAACTCCCAAAGGCAGTATTTCGAAAAACGCTACCTGAGGTCGTAACCAGTTGGACAGATTTCCGTTTATCTAGATCTGTGGATCCAACTGAACAGTATTACACCTACGCGAATTCGGACACCAGGCTGTGTGACACTATTTCGATAACGGCTACCTGAGGTCGTAACCATTTTGGACAAATTTTTAGATCTGTGGAAAGTGGACAGTATTACGCCTACGCGAATTCGGACACCAGGCTGTGTGAACTCCTGGACACGCGGCGAAAAACACACCCGGCGTACCTGGAGAGCAGGACGGTTGACCATGGCAAAGGAGTTTATCAGCCGCAAGGCTTGCAATGCAATCTGACCAACTGCTGGGTTGCGGAACGCGCTTTGTTCGGCCGAGGTTTTCGTGTCAGCTGAGCTGCCAAGTTTGGATTTCCTGTCAGCGGACCGGGCAGATCCTGCGCGGGGCGAAAAAACAAACAAACCGGGTTTAGGACAAGAATACGGGGCCATCGACAATGCAATGAACAATTTATCACGCCTCGGGCAGTTTAGAAAACAAGGACCAAGATGTCGCTGATGTTCAAACAGAATGGGGGAATCGTGCTGATAGGCAACTCGAGGTCTTCTCATCGCAACTCACAAGCCGATAAAACAAGTGAGGAATTTCAGCAACATCAGCTACATGCAGATCGAAGCATACATATGAATTGAATCAAACCGTTCTGTGCAAGTATGTCTATATGTCGAACTGGTTACGCCTCAGCGCTATCGAGGGACAAAACATTGAACGGCGCCCACGGTGTGTCACAATCAGGTGTTCCGTTATCAGCAACGGTGGACAGTCGCCATACAAGGCGGCTGTGAGAACCAAGAAGACTTAATTGCTGACTGAGAGCTCATCCAGTGCATGCAGCTATTCTGTGTTGAAAAGCTAAGAACCGCTGAGTACCAGTGTAGCGGCGATACTACTGATGGGGGAGGCATGCGAGTAGTATGGTTTCCTCTTGTGAATTCGCTTTGCGTCTCTTGAAAAGTGGTATTTATTACGGAATTTGTGGAGTCGCTTTGTAGCATTTGCTTGGATTTGAGCAACAGTCAATGAATACCCAGAAAAGTTCAGGAAGACGCGTTCAAAGAAAGTTTTTGTAAACATGATGCATATGAGAGTTTTGCTTCCCTGCCCATTAGTTCTGTAACTGTCAGTTGGCATTTTCTAATAAATAACTCCGCAGTGAAGGCCTACTTCCTTTCATCAGTATTCGCTCGCCCATATACAGTTCATGCTGATTCGTGCTCAATGGATTCCCCAGACGCGAATACCTAGAATGAAGACCCATGAAAGTGCAGTGGGATAAATCGGCTGCACAGTAGATTAGTGGACTCATTCCAGTTGAGACTTGAGTAATCTAACAGAGTGAAGTGACGTGGTCGATAAGGAACGATCTAGTTAGAGTGGGCTATGCACTTGACAATGTGTCTAGGTATTGGTAGCTCTGATGGGCTGAAAGGTTGTTGATGAGCTGCGAGTTGGTTCGGTATATGTGCTGGTTGTGCGGCAGGTACTTCAGTCCAGCGACATCCGCGGCGGTGGCTCGACGCTTTGTAACGCATGGCGAAGCAGCGTCTACCGAGACGAGTCTCGTTCTCGGACAACGTATGATTCGGCAGAAGGATGTGAAAGAGATGACGAAGACTTTGGGTGTTGTTGACGCAGCACATCTTCCAGGATGAAGCCCTCGCGACTGCTGATGAGTAGCGTCCGAACTGGCAGTTTGTTTCCAGATTGTCTGATTGACCGTTTTCATCGGTCCATAGGATGTAATGAATGTGTTATGGGGACTGCGTAATAGAGATGGAACACCTGGACAGAATAGTAACACTCATAAACAATTTCGTGGGTTTACCTGGGGTAGTTGGTTTGCCGGAAACTTTCCGCTGTTCGTTTTTACCGCCACTAGTGTCCATCATTCCTGGTTGTGTCGGTCGTGAACTGGGATCCAACAACAGACCGTACAGAAGAGGAATGAGGCCAAACATCTCTGTGTCGATAACGGTCTCGAGCAGTTTTGTAGAGTCCGCTGTAATTGGGGTTGTCGAATCCGCAGTGGTGGCTTGGTAACTACAGGTCGACGATCCCATCACAGTATCGCGGGACGAAGCGCTCGTGCTGGTTAGTGCAGGTGCGAATGGCCATAAGAGGTTGTAAGATTATACGTGAAAAACTCAAATAAAGGTTGAACAAGCCAACTATGGTGCCTACAAATGGAGCATAACGTATCACCGAACTTGGGAATCTGGAGAAATGGGGACACACATATCTACAGATCAACGCAGGGAAAGGACTGCTAATTCTACCAAACGGATATCCGCCATATCAATTCGGTGCCAGTTCAATTGGTAGGATATCTCCGAAAACCAGAAAGCCCCTGGAAACCTCCCAAAGACGTAAGGCATAATATCCTGTTTTAGATTCATCGTCTCGGTTGTCTGGATGGATGTACTACATACTATACTATACCAATGTATAGTATTAATGTGATGTACCATATACTATACTATACTAATGTATTGGGTACTACATACTATACTATGCTACACTAATTTACTATATACTATACTATGCTACACTATTCTAATGTACTATATACTATACTATATACCACACTATATATAAAGATGATATCATGATATACTAAAGACCCCAAAACGCTTCAGTTAGGCACTGTACAAACTCAAGCAAAGAAGACCTACCCACGAACACAGACATTGTTTCCACGTGGAGACGACGATGTGGGAGGCGTCGAGGCATCCGTTGCGCGACTTGCACTCGATACCGAATAAGTGCTTGTTTCGTCGACAGATAACTGAACAGCCGAGACATGAACAACCGACGACCCTGTAGTACTCGATACTTCAGACTGCTGGTGCGTCGCAGTATGGACAGTCTGAGTTGAACGCGCTTTCGTCGGGCAGGCAGATGGAATACAACCCAACAGGCGAACCAGACAAGTTAGGAGCGCAATGGTAGCCAGAGTGATCTGTTGTGATTGTTCTATAAACTGATTCGGTCCATTCTTACCCGGACTACCGATGCGTAAGAGCCAATTGGCTTGGCGGGGGCTGGACAACCGGGCTGCCAGCAGGTCAACCAGACCGCTGCTTACAATATAGCCGAGAAGATCCTGCGGAGAGGAATGGTTGAGTGCATGAAATCCTAGGATCAATGGGAATAGTCATTGAGAAAAGACCCTTTGGAAAGTATTTTGACTAGAGACACAACTGCGGCAACGTGGAATAACAGTCACCTCCAAGCCTGTAAACACGTTGAGAACTCTCAGGAGGGAATCGAACGGAAGACTGAATTCAAGGGAGAAGACGAACACGGTCTACCATCTTCAATATCAGGACTGCGATGAACACTAAGTTGGCGAGACTGGGAGAAAGCTTGCCACCAGAATACACGAACACAAGCTTGCCAGCAGAAGACATGACCCAGTGTTACTCGTTTCAATCCACAAAGACAGGGAAGAATACCAGTTCAACTAGGGTCAAGTTCAAATACTTGCTCATGCAAGAACAAAACGGAGGCGGAATTTGCTGAGGCGTGGTACTCTACACAAAAATCGATCCACAAAGACAGAATACCAGTTCAACTAGGGTCAAGTTCAAATACTTGCTCATGCAAGAACAAAACGGAGGCGGAATTTGCTGAGGCGTGGCGTGGTACACAAAAATCGATCAACAAACAGATCGATATCAGCCGTGAGGAATTAAAGAATTACACAGTTACGGGATTCTGAACGATACGGGAAATCAAACAACCTAACGGCAGGCAACAGACCAACTGAGTTAAAGGTTACCAAAATTAGGAGGCTATTCAATCAGCCAGTCATGTGGGATGAAATCAGACCAATCAAAATGGAGACAGAAAACTGCCGATTTGGTGGTGTCAAACGAACCAACTAAATACGAAGGAACGAGATCATAACACAAATGAGATTCTAGGCTGGCCAACCAAATTACGCGAAAACCACCACGGGACCAACTGAACTCGTGTGCCGTATAAGCAAACGGGGAGAATGTACCCACTCAGCCCCGCACTGACGATGTCACCTCGATTGGTGATTGAAACTGCTCGATTAATAGATTAACGTTTTTGAAAAGAACAAGCTCACCCATTAATTATTGGATGGATACTGAGTTCTCTGGGTATGAAAATGCATCAACGAGTCATCGATTTCGAAAACACAAGAC